AATATCGAGGTGAAAACAAATCGGTCTTGCTAATATGGCACAGCTTTATATTTCCGTATCAACGTGAAATCGATAAACAAAAAAGCCATATATTTCCGTTCAGGATACGATCATGCATGTAAAAATATCAAACTGCTATTTCAAATTTTCAGGCATTGAAATGGTATACATCCGTTGGAACGTTATTGAAACGGAAATGAGCGTTTCAGGTCCGTTCGTTCACTGTCGCCTGAAGGATAAATCATCGTGCTGAGGTACAAAATCCATCACACAGCTATCGATTTAATGAGACACGTTAATTTCTATTAAAACAATGCCTTTTCTCTCTTGTTTATTTTTTGTGTCAATACTAAGTTTCAGAGTAAGCTATTTCTTATATTTTAAAACTTTTCAATTAAAAAAGCAGATTACTAATATTATAATTCAACTTGACTAAAGTACAACTACGTACTTGTCATCTAATCACGAGTATTTTTAAAATTAATGTACACATTTAATCAGTACTCTACTCGCTTCAGCGATCTTCCGCCAGTTATTTTTGACGTACTTCGCCAAACGAAAGCGCTTTACTGAAGAAATTGACTTTTCTCGTCGCACTGGAGAATCTTCTAAATTGCGAGATGAGATCTCATAATTAAATGCTCTACGAAATTGTCGACCCTTGCTCGCTACTCAGCGGCTCAATTGTCATTTTAATAGAACGATTCGGTTGTCTCGACTTTCAATGAAGAGAAGGAAGGGCTCGTACAAATAACTGCGTTTATAATATTGCAAAGCGGATCTCCCATACCCGCGCGAAAGTTCCTCGAACTTGATAATAACGCACACTCGGAATCGACAAACGCGCCCCAATTATGCTGACAAACTGGCTTGCAGCTCTTGTCATCTCGGCAAGCAATAACGACATTTATTTACAAAACGCGCAGTAAACTTCTCACCAATTATATGTATTTTATAATCGAAGTAGCTTAACGAGAGAAATATCCGATTAAAAAAAAAAAAAATCTAAAAAGACTCCAAAGCCAAAAATTTGCAGAAAAAATGACTTTATTTCGAATAAGAATTTCGAATAAAATGTATCTCCGAAAAAGCAAACGCGCGATGAACTTTCTCGCTAATTGCACGTGTTTTATAATCGAAGTATCACTTCACGATATTATTAAAAAAAAAAAAAAGAGTCCAACGCCACGTAAAAACTTCCAAAAAAATTACTTTAGTTAAAATAAAATGTATATATCTCTGAAAAGTAAACGCGCGACATATTGTAAATAGATAGTAAAACAACGAAGATCGACATGAATTCTTACTCGGCTCCCCTGAAGAGTTTGATATCTTACTTCATGCCAGCTACAATAAGATTGATCGATTCTGCAAAAGAATTGATATCTCCCTTCGAAACTGTTGCTTCGAACAACAGTGACTTGCGGAAGATTGATACATATAGAGTAAACATTGAAAGAGCTTGTTTTGTCGGACCTTTTTTTAGCAAAGAAAATTTATTTTACTGATCTCATCTTTCTATTAGGTATCATGAGTTCTAATAACTATTCAAAGAGTATTATTTTTCGCATGTTCGTTTTAGATGACATATGAGAGGAGAGAGCGGAAAGCGTAGACGAATTTTCTTCCTGTGTTTTTGAGATCATATTTTCTACAATATATCGTTGCGTTGACAGAATAATGACACAAGTAAAATGTTACGCTCTAAAAAATATAGGTGTAGATTTAACACCATAAGTTTTAAATCTGTATGTCATATTGATGTTGATATAACATTTTTTTGGATTTATATGTACCAACATGGATTTAAACCCATTGGTATTGGTACATATAAATCGACACGTTGAGATTTATACAATAAACATTTAAATATATAAATGATATCAAATCCATACCCATATTTCTTACAATGATAACATTTTGAGATAATAAAAGGAAATCGACTACAAAAGCTAGTATGTTTTTGTAAAAATGACACATTGTAGCTCATTTGCTTATATGAAAAAATATCATAGTTTTATCATCTGAAATTTACACTGAAATATTAAGATTGCAGTAAATTTTGAATATTTATGATATATTTTTAAAAAATACACTGTAATTGAAAGTAGGAAAAACGTGAACGTAGGAAAAAAGTGAAGGCACATAGAAAATGCATATTCACTATTTTAATTAAAATGTTCCAATTCAAAATTTTAAAAAATATAAAATTTTTTAAATATTCTACTGAAAAATTTTTTAGATGTATTACTTTTTCTATCATAACAGTTGATATGAATTTTCCAATAATGTCCTCCCTCGAAATAATCGTCAATAATTGTTAAAGTGATAATGAAGGAATGGATTTTTTATACGAACTTCTTCGCTTAAACAAAAGTTTCCCAAATGATTTATTAATTGCATGACAGAGTATGCCGAATTTAGTATCTTTTCATCGCATGTTATATATTCAAATTAATGTATGAAAATATCGATAATACCATTTACATTTCAAAGTGATTTCATGATAAGCCGAACGTGTATATGTAAACATGTGAAAAAATCCAGCGTTTAAAGATGCGTGTCGAATGCTTACATATATTAGACTTGATATTAGAATGAAAATTACTTTCGTCAATCCATTTTATGCCTCGTAAAACAATATGAAACTATATCCAGAACATTGGCATCATTACATTGTTATTTAATGACACAGTCGCGATATCGAAATGCGCCTCGCATAATAAATTTGATCATACAATCACGTATTCCCAAACGGGTAAAACCGTCCAAGATTTACACTACATAATTTAGATACCCGGACACAATTATTTCCACGCAAACGGCTGATACCGTTTGATATTCGCATTTTGAAAGACCGAATTCTCATCCAACATTACATGCACCTGAAATATTCATCATCATATAATAATATTTACATTAAAAATACCATTAAAAACAACATTCCTTACACACTAAAATAACTTAATAAATAAACTCTGTGAAAGTAAAAAGAACAATGAGAGACCAAATTCCATTATATAAAAGACATAATTATTGAGAAGTAAAAAAAATCAAAATTTTTTATACAAAAAACAGGATAGCTACTAAGAGTTCTAAAAGATTTTAAGGAATCATTCCTCATAGAAATTTAAGACGAAAACTTCACGCGACCATATGTCCGAAATGGCTTAGTTTCAAACATCATATGACCATATGTTTGAAGCGCTTAGTTTTAAACGTACAAAAATTTCAAAAACCACACGAGTTAGTTTGATAAAACATTAAACATATATAATATTTCACTAAAACTCGAGTGATTTTCGAAATTTTTAGAAAAAATAAAATCTTATAAGCCGTTTCAGACTTATGGCACATGAAGTTTTCATCTTAAATCTATGTGAAGAATCAATTCTTAAAATCTTTTAAAGTACTTTGTTATATATAGTTAGCCACTCTATTATTATGTATTAATATTAATCTAAAAAAGAAAAACAGTCAATAATGATTATTTTTCTAGTGTAAACACACATCGATGCATTCACGCATTTAATCGCAAAGGTCATTTCAGAATTGCATCTCTGCAAAGTCCTGGACACCACTCTTTTGCCTCACGTTTCACTCTTTCTCGGCGATCAGAATCTCACGCGGAGGACATAAATGTCAGAAAATCCAGATGGTCGTAGCTACATTGGACGTGCGGCGTTCGGATCAGTGAATTGAAGTAGCAAGACGCGATCGCGATAAGATGGTACCGTCAACGCGTTCACTGCCGAATAGTCGGAATAGTCGGAGCTCGGCTCGCCTTTGCGTTGATGGTAGAGTCAAAGACAACGAGATCCCATGAGATCGCACACGCGGTTCGCTGCTGCTCCGAACGAGATTCCATTCAATATTTAGTTGCACTAGAACGGTCGGCGAGTGTGGGCGTTAAAATTTTTGAAAATTTCTGAAGAAACTAACTTATATACGGCACAGAAGCTTGCAGTAACATTGCTCCAAATTTGCAATGTTATTGCAATATTACTGGAGCGCTGTAATATTGCTAGAATAATTCATGCTATTATGGAGATTAGAGACCTTGTAACAGATCGTGTTACGAGCGATTTCGTCAAAATTTGTAAGAGAGGAAGGTATATATAATTTTCCCCCATATATATGCTATCTCACTATAACTTGTATTGTCTCACTCCATAACTTTAATTAAGATTACAGATAGTTAAGTTAGAGTGAGATAGTATACAATATATATATTTGTATATACAGAGAGAAAGTACCTTTCTCTCTCATAGGATTTTGACAAAATCGCTCCTGCCTACTTACTCTATAACTTTATATTGTTATTCTATAACTTTAATTAAAATTTTAAAGTGACACAGAATAAGATTATATTATATATATATATGTGTGTGTGTGTGTGTGTGTATATAAAGTATATACTTCCTCTCATGTAAGATTTTAACAAAATCCCTCTTATCCCGACTATTACTTTATAACTTTATTACGTCATAATTTTAATTAAGATTTTTTTAAAGAAAGTTAAATTAAATAAAGATTGTATT